TGTAGCATTCATCTCTTTGCTATTAGTACCAAATTGCCCTGTGGAAAAATATAAGGCTTTCAGCCCCCAATAGTGTTATATGGTGTTACTTATTTTCTCAATGTCTTACCATAAAGAAATAATAAAATGAAAAAGTTATCAATATTAATTACAGACATTATATTCATTTTACTTTAATATTTATTACTGCTATTTGCATTATGAATGCTAGTTATTGAAGAAACTATTTTTAAAGTGTTCTAAAAATGCTTAAAAAGAAATTTACATTTTGTGTTCTAATCAATTTTTTTTTTTACTTTAAACTTTTGAAACAGTTAGAGGAAGAAACTTAGTTTTTAAAAAACAGAGGAGAAATCCACCTAAAAACAAAGCTTAATAAAGAAGACTGAAATGTTTATTAGTAAGCACTTTATAAGAAATTTCTCTTTTGTGAATACATTATAATGTGGTCTTACAGAGCATATTTGCAGCTAGAGAGGGTGCTGACTTTGTGTTTTTGCAACTCATTTAGAAAAATGAACATAAATGCCTCTAAAAAGCTCTAAAATGACGAATCAGTCAAAATCAATGATATTGAGTCATTTTAATTTCATATTTAAATACTCAAGTATGTTCTATTAAAAAAAAAAACCCTATAACTGCCTAGGCAGAGGCAAACTTCATCAGTCATTCTATATTCTGCTTCTGATAGCTGGAATACATACAATATGGTCCATACAATACAATTTGAGTCCAAATAATATAATTTGAGTCCATACAATATGGTAGTCATAAAAGTCAGCTTTTATCTAAGACAAAAATTTCTAAATTCATCATGTCTCATAAATAAATCAAGATCTCTTTCTCTGGGATTTAATCCCTGTAGCACATACCTCTCACTCAGCTCCTCAAATCTCTCCTCAGTTCTCTGGGACCCTCACCCACTTATCCCACAGGAGCCACCACTCTCACCAACTCTGGGCTCTAACCTGTTTGACTTCACCCTGGAATAATCTGAGAGCACCTCACTTCATGTCACTTCACATGCCTCTTGTTTCCCGATCCAAGGCTTTCCTTTTGTCCCTGAGGAATGTCACTCTGTATTACATGGTAGCCATGATGTACATACGATTTGTAACATGGGATAATTAACACCCCATAGAGTGAGATACATCTTTCACCAATGGGAAATAGGAGTAAGCAATTCATTTCTTTGCTTTAACTCCCCCTAGATGGGTTGTTTTAAGATGTATGCTTCTTAAGACCACTCATAGAATAATCCCATGAGGCAGAACAATTAGTTGTTTCTTACACTAAGCAGTGACCAATATCAGTATGGCACCCTAGAACTTGAGCTCCCTACTCATGTCTCACACCTCTTTTTCCTTGTTTATAATTAAACGTTGGTACATAAACTTTTACACCAGGCTAATGAAACCAATGAAATTGCTAAAAGCAAGTGGTAGAGAGCTCAGCCTATGAGGTAAAGGCGTTCATTCCCTGCCACTCTGGAGAGGTAGAAATTCAGTTCCTCTAGCCCCAATAAAGTAAAAGAGAAAAGGAAGACAAATAAGAAAAGTAAATGGTCAGGTGCACACGTACCCTGGCTTTCCCATTCTGGTTTGAAATCACAGATTGGGGATTATTAGATCTGATGAAAATAAATCTGAAACTATAGGAGTATTTCTCTGCATTCCCCATTAGTATCTCTGGCTGGAGACCGATGTGCAGGGCAACTGCACAAAACATCATGGCAGAGTGAGCAAAGAGAGAGGAGTTGGCTAATTAAACAAGCCTGAGGCAGCGCTCCTGGCTCCTTGCTGCCTCCATATTTTCTGGAAGAGATTCAGATGATTCCACATGCCTTCGATGGTGGTAGTGGATGCAAATATTGAAAAAGCAGGGCTACAGCTTTCACAGGGAATGACCATGGAGCAGGTGAAGTAGCCTGGTACTTGAAGGTTTCAGGGTAGTCTAACCAGGACAGAGATCAAAATGAAATACACAGCCAATATCTCAGAGAGGTTCACAGCATCAGCAAGGGGATAAGTTGAGGATGATACACCAAGGAAGTATAATTGATGCTGACTAAACATAAGAGAACATATTTTCCACTGCCTCGTACTCCAAGATCAGAAGCTAGGCAGGTCCTGAAATAGTGCCTTACAGGCCAAATTTCAGCAGTTAACAGAGAGCCCTCACCAAGGATGGTTACAACAAGTCTCACCACAAGTCTCAGAAGTGACTGACACATGGATCAAGATGAGATGACATGAGAAAGAGGCTCTTTAAACCAGGCAACACTGAGATCTCTTCAATAGAAATATTTAAAATTCATATAGTCCTAACATACATATATAACTCCACCTTACCAACTCCCCAAAACGCTCATTGCTGCTAATTACAAATATTAAGCTAATCATAAAAGAATAAATAAGTTCCTTATTCTTGGCTCAGCTCTTTAGAAGAAAAAAAGTAGACTTGTGACCCACTAATATATTTATGTATAGTTTTATTAGAATGTCAGTCTTCTTTATTACACTGTAAACCCATTTAGGTAGAAATTTCATATATAGTTGACCCTTAAACAATGCTAGGTTTAGGGGTGCCAGTGCCCTGCACAGTAAAAATTTGTGTATAAATTTTGACTTACCAAAAAACTACTAATAATCTACTGTTAAACAGAAGCCTCACTGGTAACAGTCGATTAAAACATATTTTATATGTTATATGTATTATCTACTGTACTCTTACCATAAAGAAAAGAAAGTGCTATTAAGAAAATCATAAAGAAAATAACATTTACAGGATTTACTGAAAAACTTCACATATAAGTGTACCCATGCAGTTCAAACTCATGTTGTTCTAGGGTCAACTATATTTGGTTCATCACTGAATTGCCAATATGTAGGTCAGTGTGAGGCACTGTAGGTCTTGAGTAAATGATAATAATTATATAGGCAGCCCATCAGGAGTTTTAGCCCAAGCAGATCCAAGTCTAGGGCATTTATAGCCCAGCAATTCCTTGAGTATATCGTCAACAGAAATGATCACATATGCCTCCCCCAAAAAGAAATGTGTAGTAACATTCATGAACTAATTATTTATTATAGACAAAATTTTATACAACTCGAACATCTACCAAAAATATAATGGATAAATTGTGACTGGTTTATACGATATAATGTTATGAAACAATTAAAATTAATGACAGAGCTACATGTAAGAACAGGAGTGAATCTCACAAACATAGTAATGAGTCAAAGGAAAATAAAAGAGAATGCACATTTTGTGTGTGTAAACAAATTTTTGTAAATAAATTTTTGCAATTCTGAATTGTATTTATCCACATACTTTCAAATATTCATTATTTCTTTAGAGAATTGAGATCGCAAAGGAAAGATCCTGTGAGTCATTTACTTCTTAAATTATTTGAAATCTTTGCATTTTGCATTACATAAAAGGCTAACTTTTGCAATATCTGTGCCAGTATAGTAGGAAATCTCATTTTCCATTGTCTCACTTATAAGTCATAATTCTTGTTCTTTAAAGAGACAATAAATGTAGGTAGAGGATAGTGTTAATAATTACCAATTATTGAGCTATTATTGTGACTTATGGATTCTTCTGAACATTTTCCACATGGTATATCCCATTCACAATCAACCTGTGAGTTTAATAATACAGAACTTATTTTACATATAATAAATCTAAACTCCAAAAAAATTAACTATATTGCAAAATTTGCACATCTAGCATCTGGCAGAACTTTGTTAAAACCCAGCTCTATCTGAAATCAAATCATGTTTTTAACCCTTTTTGGTCATAGAGTAATGTCTACATAACACATATCCTTACAAAAGGATGCATTGTAAGAAAGAAGTACACATATTTTCCTCTTTGAAAACACTTTTCAAAAAGAAATCCTTAATTTAAAAGTTGAATATATCCCTTTGATATAGTTTAAGTTCTTAGGTTTAATTTAGTATATAAATTTGAGGCAAGTGTGGAAAAGAACAAGAAGTCTCTTGATACAGCCTTTGCCACTACTTCTTGTTTTCTATCACTTTAAGTGTTAAGAGTTTCATGTTTGATTAAAATGGTTATTTAACTTACTTCAAATCTCTTAATTTAAAAGTAAATTATTTCTGCTCATTTACAACTCTAGTACCATTGGTCAACTAGTCATCATGACAATGACGGTCTATTCTTATCTGCCAAAATGTTCTACGTTTTGGTCATTTCCCACAGGAGACAACTGACCAAACCAATGAGAGAAAATAAATAATTCTCCAAAAACTCTCAGTTATTTTCATTCTGCTCTCCTTCTCTCAGCTCTACCATCCATGGTTCTCCACTTACACTCCACAAGCAGAGAAAAAGAGTGACAGAGAAAGCTCCAATATGCCTACTTATTTGTCAGCATGACATTCTTTGGGGTTTTCTTGTTAGTTGTTAGTTGCATCACAATTATATCCTTAATTTTCTTTCCCTTTGAAGTCATGGCTTATGATCTATCTAACTGAAGCTGATTATGCCTCAGAAAACATCACTATCACAGAAATATTAGAAATATAATCAAATATTTTAAATGTAGATCTATTTTTGAAAGAGGTAACAGCCATTAAGTTTAAGTTTAAAATATTTAGATAACTACATTATCCATCTCTCCCAATTTCTATATCTTAAATATCAGCCAATATTTGCTTTATTCTACAAAATTTTGATTATGAAATAAAAACCATGCAAATTTATGTCCTCTCATTCAGAATATTTCGCATAACCATATTAAAAGTGTGTACACTATGCACAGTTAGAAGATATTTTTATATTTATGTGGAGCACGGATAGGGAGGAAAGCTGAATGGGATTTCTTGGAAGATAGTCATAGGAGAATTTCAAGAAAATGAAAAGGTTGAAAAGGGTGCCCTAGAGCATGTCTATGTATGCTGTGTAGCTATCTGTCGAGATGACTTCTCACGTCCCTTTGAACTCAGTTATTTTATTATTCTATACGGCTTTCACAAAGTCCTCTCCTTTGCAAGCATCCTCTTCAGAGCAGCTTTGACTTCTTTGTTCCTCAGACTATAGATCAGAGGATTTAGCATGGGATTGAAAAGACTGTGAAACAGGAGGAGATATTTCTTCTGCTCCTCGGGGTTCCCATATCGGGGCCCAACATACATGATAATGGCTGTGCCATAAAAGAGTCCAACCACACAGAGGTGGGAGGAGCAGGTGGAGAAGGCTTTCTGGCGCCCCTCCCTTGACTGGATCTTTAGGATGGCACGTAGAATATGAATGTAAGATGTCACAATTGTGGAGAATGGTCCCACCAGTACAGACACGGCCCCAGTCAAAACCGCAATCTCATTAATGCGGGTATCTGCACAGGCAAGCTTGAGGACAGCTACAATTTCACAGAAAAAGTGATTAACTATCTGGGGTCCACAGAAGGGCAGCAGCAGTAGTAATACTAGATGTACCAGGGCCAGGAGCACTCCTAAAACCCAGGAACTCACTGACAGGGTGATGCAGACTCTCCAGCTCATGATGGCAGAATATCGGAGGGGGTGGCAGATGGCCACATACCGATCATAGGACATCGCCACTAGGAGAAGACATTCAGTGTGAGCGAAAGCCAAAAAGAGAAAGGTCTGTGTCATGCATCCAGCAAAGGAGATGGGCTTGGCCGGATTCAGGAGGTTTACCAGCATCTGCGGCACCGTGTTGCAGGCGTAGGCTATGTCGACGGTGGCCAGGTGCGAGAGGAAGAAGTACATGGGGGTGTGCAGTCTGGGGTCCAGTGAGATGAGCCCCAAGATGACTCCATTTCCCAGAAGAGTGAAGGAATAGAACAGGGTGAAGAGCCCACAGAGAAGCATCTGAATCCCTGGGTCAAGGGGGAACCCCGCTAGGAAGAACTCTGTGACAGAGGTCTGATTTTCTCCCATTTACCTGGGAAAGAGACCACAGAGCTCACCAAGTCTGAATGTCTGAGAGAAGTGTTTAAACATGGCGGATCTGTGTGGCATTGTTTATTTCCCCACAAAACATTTCCATTGATATCTCTGTCCTATTAGTCACTTACTAAGTGAAAATTATGCATTCCAAATGAAACAGAAGGAAACTTTTTTCACTGTGACAAACTAAATGCTAGCATTCTATCACAGTATTCAGTAAATTCTACCTTTATTTTCAAACCAACTTTTCCTACAGTTCAAAATGTCAATACTTAAATTGCCTTCATAGCAGTGGACACTGTCCTTAGTTTGTGATGACTGTATCAGAGGTTTGCCTGCGTGTATTCCCGCATCCTAGCGTACATATATCCATCCGTACGTGTGAATGTGTGCTGTTGTCTTTTGTTTCTATACACGAGGATGAGAAGAAGGACGAGGCGCATGTCACTGATCCCTTTATCAGGCTTCCTCACAACTTCGTGCCTTCATTATATGAGTTATTTGTTAGCCTCGTCGTTTTTAACATAATCTTGAATTAAGTTGTGAGAATGTCAGACAGACTGCCACAACACTGACTGGATTTAAAAGAGAGAATTTTGTCTTTTGACTTTTGGACCCACAGATGGTCTATTCTGATGGTGCTGTTTTACCATCCCTCTTATCCTCTATCTGTGTGTATGTGTATATATATATGTCTGTGTGTGTATATCTCCTATATGTGTAATGTATATTTATATAATATGTATTACGTATTTATATTATATAATACACTTATAGATATAGAATATATATATATTTTTTTGCATTTATCTATATTCGGGTTTTTGCAAAATTTTTGCCATATCCTACAGTGAGAAATCTCTACCAGATATACATGAATATAGATATATTTGAATCCTTCTTCTGTGGAAGGTACTTGGCATTTTCTATATTATCTACTCTATTTCATTAGTAAAAATACTGATTGTGTGATTTCACCATCGGACATAGCCTGAGAATTAAAAAATACTGATCTATACCCATGCTACAGCTAACGCTCTAATTATAGACTCTGATTATAAACAGAATCTTTAATATTTTATAGCTTAACTCTAATGTAAAAAAATATTATTTAGCATGAATCTTTAGATATATGTGGCTTATAAATTTTTTGAAAAAATACTTCTACCACAGAGTGGGTATTCTGAGATCTGAATGACTATAAAATTTTAAACCATTGCTTTATTTTTCTTATCTGTCTAAGTCTATATCCTTTTTCAGTCAGAATACATCTGAAGTACACTAAAATAAGAATCTCAGAAAATTCATAATAAAGTTTCTATCAGTTCCCTCAACCAAATTTTCTGATAAGTTACTATTTGAAAGATTCTATGAGCAAGAGTGCAAAGGTTTTGACCTGCTTCAAAGGAAGAATCAGAATTCACAGTAGAATTATTGGGAGATGATTTTATCTCAGGCCAAGAAATAACTTCATAATAACTAGAATCATCTCCTTGAAGAAAACTGGTTGTTTTATTAGACTGAACTTATGTCAGTGAATGATTCAAATCAAAGATTGATTAACCATCTATTCAAGACGAGATTCCTGTGTTATGTGAGAAGCTGAAGTAGAAGAATGCTATGGTCTCTTCCAGTTGTAGGATTCATCGGCCCTAAAGGTATAGAAAAGTGTTAGCCATTTTCATTGCGACTTCCTTGCACTTTTGGGGCCAATGAAGACAGGAATGCTGTTTCTAAAATAGCATATGATGAAGACACGTAATAAACTAAAACAGAAGGACCAATGATTGTATTCTCATCTCCCTCCTATCAACATATAAATAAAACACAAAATTTTAAATCCAGAAAATATTTACTAAACATATTCTATATCCTGCTACATGTCTTGGCTAAGGACTGCTGGTGTGTATAACCTGCTTGCTAAAATAACACAAAGATAATAATTCTCAAATTTAAATAAGTCATCAAAAGAACGTTCAAAAATAAAACCTTCAGGACATTCTTCTGTAACAAACTCATTTTGTGGTCAATTAGGTCCATTATTTCATGAAAATATGACTTCATTTCATAAGGCAATGTAAAGATTTGCAAGCTAATCTCTCAAACAGCTATTTAATCTTATAGTTTAAACAAGAAATTCAAAGTAAATGATCCATATTAGGTGTACCTAAAGGACATGATAACTTCTAATGTATTCCAGTAGCAAAGTCTATAAATAGATATCTGGCATTGGCAGATAATAACAATTACATTTTTCCATTGCAAATTTTCATTACAGTCGATCTGCAATCATATGGTGAACAATATGATTAATGGATAATATAAGAAACTTACCATAGACTTGTAGCTAAAAACAAAATAACAAGCTGAATATGAGTCAGGTTAAGTGAAAACACACCAATAAATACACTATAACATCTGTGAGTTAGTGCTGAAATTCCTTTCTTGCAAGGATCTCTTAGGAGAAAATTTACCCCAACAGAGGCAACAGGATTCCTCTCAAAAGAGGCGATTTATTCTCTGCTAACTCAACCACCTCTCAATCAGCTTCTGAGTGTTTACTGTAGGGGAGGGATAAAGATCCAGCACGCACACCGCTGATTCCTTGCAGGGAATACAGATGCTCGTGGTACTTCTCTCTGGTTTTCTCTAGAGGGATGTTTATGACAAGACGATGATGTTGATCATTCATTCACTCACTGCAGGGTCTGTGATCTTAAATTTAGAAGCACAGAATGCCTTCTAGGACTCCTTCATACGTTACAATTACCACACGCTTGGATTTATTATGGCTTCAGGAACTCTAACATTTCCCCATCCACTAACCCTCCAAATAGATTAAATGGTATTTAGGGAAGATGGAACCTATTTATTTTTTCCATCCTCTCTAGTGTTGGCTGAGTTTTGTTACATCTGATCTGAACTTGTATCCTACATGTTTTTTTTTTTTTTTCATCAAGACACTATAAGGAATACAGTTCATAATAAAGACCTATGGAAGTGATGAGGAACATGAGAAAGAGTCAGAAAGAAGATAAGGTATCCCAATGGGACTTGTTAAGTCCTGTTTTGTAGGATTTGTCTGGAGTGCCAAAAGGGAAGGAAAATTCTCACCAGAAACCAATCTCTATTCTGTTAATTTCCAGAATTCTGAGCCAGGAGGGGAAAGAAAGACCGAGGTTCCCTTAGGACTGTAACTACTACTATTTTCTCCTCTTCCTGAAATGGAAACTGACCTTGCTTTCCAATTATGGGAATGCAATTGAGACAATCTGCTGGTGCCTTTGTGGTTTACATTTCTCTTTTATTCTCTTATCTGTACCTATTCTCATATTCAAATACAAAGGAGGTGGAATATAATTTCTTGAATTAAAGTTATTTTAGTGTAAATGCTAACCAACTAAGAAAATAATAGAGCAATTATTTTTTACCTTGAGAGTGCAGACCTGCAGTAGAACTGAAATGGGCTTTTCTCCATTAAATCTGTTCAGTAAGAGGCTCATGAGTGACTGGAGACAAGGCTATAACCTCACACCTTGGAAAAGACACTGTGCCCTCATATTACCATGTTTAAATCTCTACCTTTTGGTCATATAACTTTTTATTCCTAACATTAAGATAGAACTTTACCATTTTTATCATTGGCCTTATCGATTTTATTGGCATATGATTGTATTAATTAATATAAACTAGGTTTATATTTTAATGATCTTCATTTTTTAGATTTTAACGATAAAGTTTGCTTTTATATAAATTATACCCAATCTTTTGTTTTAATTCTTAGTCACGCTACCTCCCTCAGTTGAATATTTCACTTAATCAGTGTGTCATATTTTTTTAATAAATGTAATTTGGACTCTAAATTTGCTTTTTTCTATCACTGTAGCTATACATCTCAAGTTTGATATTCAGAACTTTCATAGCTAACTTCATCAGTAAAACAAATTATGTAGAGTTACATCTTTAAGTTTCCAAATTTTGCATTATCTCTTTATTATTAATTTTAAATTTATTGTCATCGTGTATAAAATAATGAATCTTGTGATATTCTTTGAAAATCTGAGGTTTTTTATTGGTTTTTATATATTCAATTTTTGCAATTTTATACTGATTGGAATGTAATATATATTTTCTATTTCTTGGGTATAGGATTCTTTACATATTAGAGCAAGCTTACTGATTTTGTTCTTCAGAGCTTTAACTTCCAATTTTTTTTTTCAGTGTTATCAATTCATTTGAGAGCATTTTGCTAAATTTGCCACTACGAAGTTGGATTTGCAAATCTTTGCATTCTAATTCTTTGCCTTTTTTTTCTAATTCTATATTATGGCTATGTTCTTATACAGTTATCTCTATACGAATTTTTTGCCTTATATAAACATAAATGCAAATATCTGCCTATTGTTGCATCAATTTATTACATCTTTGCATGGGATACGTTCTTCATTACCATTCTTTTCAGCCTTTCTTTGTGACTGCGTTTTAGTTGCACTTATAAACGACATATAACTGTATTTGGTGATGGGGCGGGGGTTAAAAACCAATGTGAAAACACAAGGATATAATCTAATTTCATTCAATGTAAATATTGAGATATTTAGACCTCCTACCATTGGTATTTTCTGGTTAGCATCCTTTTTCTTGGCTTTTATGCTTCTTTCTTCTGTTAGCTTTATAAGGAGATGATGTAACATCATCTGGCCTCTCACTTAGTGATGTTGTTTGGCCTTCACTTAGTGATGAAATTTCTACAGGTAATACAGATACATACATCTATAATAAGTGGATAACCTTGTAATTTTAGAAATATTTTAGAGTAATTTTCTGTCCTTCAACTCACATACCTGCCCAGATGTTTTTGTAATCGTTTGTATAACTGTCTTAAGTTTCAGAGTGTTTTTCTAACTTCTCTTTGAATCAGATGGGAATCCAACAGGAAAACAGAAACCCTGCTGGTATTTCAATAGAGAGAATTTAATATAACAAAATGGTTAAAGAGATGTCGGAGAATTACAACAGTAAAAATGGAGCTCTCAGATACACACACAGAAACTGCTTGAAGCAGCTGCCATCCCTAGGGTTAAGGGACACAGTGCAGAGTTTGGGGTGATTAGAATCTAGAAGGTCAGAGGAGTTAGGATTCAGACTTAAACCTCTAAGGAGAAGGTGCCTCCCAGTTGCACTGCTGTCCCCCAGTGGGGAGTATTAAGGCTGGTTCTCGGAACTTCGAAAATAAAGGCTAGG